ATATTTATTATTATATATATACAAATGCATTTTGTGCCCATGTACAAATACATTATCTGCCCATGTCAAAATGCTTCATGTTTCTACAATAATGAAACAGACGCTTACCTTGAATTTTCCTGGCAGCGCACCTTAGTCTACATGCGTTGCTATAGGTGACTCCGTTACTGCCACACACGGGGTCGTATTTCCTCGAACAGAAACACGGATGTCCACAGCGTTGTCCTGCACATATATATATGCGTACCATAAAACCCCCTATATGGGTGTCGTGTTCATGTACGTGTGGTACGTGGTGAATCACCATCCGCACGATGTGCATTTCAACTAATCAATGAATGTTATCGATTAAATACTTTGCGACCGGCTACACAAGTTCATTTAGGTACAAATTTTATTTACGTTTATGACAGAAAAAAAATAGTTTACTTTCGTTGTACTTTCCAATCGATCATATTCACGAAAGGCGAGCTATTTACGACTGGGGAACATTTTGGTAGACATCCAAATTACTGGATTACAAATTTTGTAAGCGTTGGAAGTGATTATAAATCTTGAATTCGATGAAAAGAATTTTCTCATAAGAATTCAATACGTAGTTGCGCTTAGTTGATTTGATTCTAATCGAATATTTCCGCGAATATTCATCTCAACATACCTCGGCAGTGCCCCCTACCGAATGCCCGTGACTGGGCATCAACGGTGAGTGCAAGACAGAGTAGCAACTTACTGTCAACAACTTAGACTACCAAATTTAGTAATCTGTTTTAGAATGAAGCGCGCAACAGTGTATCACTCTATAGCTGTCAGTGTGATGTTTGCAGGTCTTTGGCATGAAACTCATTGAGCTGACTATAGTCACAAGGGAAGCTACATCATCGCGAATGAACTGCCAGCTGGCATGCGTCTGGAATGGTAGGTTTTCTGGCAGAGAGACTGGCGTGTAAAATCCTCAACAGCAGTAATCGACGTAATCGTTTACAGTTCATTATTATGGTCATAATTTTAGAAGTTTGCTTGATTCGAGCTATGATATAGTTACAGAGTTGATACTTGATGTCGTTCTCTTGCGATACTTTTACTCCTTAACATTACATGAACCTTCTCACTCTAAGATTTCCCAATCATTAATAGCGCATGTCGGGGGGGGGGGGGTTAACGGCTGTATACAATGCGCCAGTATGCTGAATATGGTAGTTACAGAGTTGATACTTGATGTCGTTCTCTTGCGATACTTTTACTCCTTAACATTACATAAACCTTCTCACTCTAAGATTTCCCAATCATTAATAGCGCATGTCGGGGGGGGGGGGGTTGAAAGCTGTATACAATGCGCCAGTATGCTGAATATGGTAGTTACAGAGTTGATACTTGATGTCGTTCTCTTGCGATACTTTTACTCCTTAACATTACATAAACCTTCTCACTCTAAGATTTCCCAATCATTAATAGCGCATGTCGGGGGGGGGGGGGTTAACGGCTGTATACAATGCGCCAGTATGCTGAATATGGTAGTTACAGAGTTGATACTTGATGTCGTTCTCTTGCGATACTTTTACTCCTTAACATTACATAAACCTTCTCACTCTAAGATTTCCCAATCATTAATAGCGCATGTCGGGGGGGGGGGGGTTAACGGCTGTATACAATGCGCCAGTATGCTGAATATGGTAGTTACAGAGTTGATACTTGACAATTGGCAGCCC